GTATGGCCAGAGTATTTTGCAATGACATGCTGGCACATTTGGAAATGACAGAATAGGTTTATACATGAACCAGAATTTGAGATGGTGTGTGAAGCTGAAAAGATCAATGCAGAGTTCTTAAGAACATACAGAACTAGACAAAAAAAAAATACTTGGAGAAGGAGAGAGTGATCAACAGACATTGATAAGATGGGCATGGCCTCATAGTGGTTGGTGCAAGCTAAATTTGGATGGAGCGAGAACAAGGGAAGGAAGAACCGAGTGTGGTGGGACTATACGCGGTAGTGAAGGGGGATGGCTTGGGGGTTTTTCCCATAGATTAGAGGTTTAGGCCGCAGCAATGGCTAAAGTGTGAGGTATCATAGAGGGACTAAAGTTTTGTTGGAATTTGGGACTCCGAAAAATCCAAGTTGAATCAGATGCAAAGGAGATCATTAAGCAAATCAGGAAAAAGAAAAAAATAGAAGGGTACAGAAGATTAACGAGCATGATACAGGAGCTAATACGGAGAGAATGGCAACCGGAATTTGGGCATATTTATCAGGAAGGAAATCAATGTGCTCATATGATGGCAAAGATGAGTTTATCACTGCCTCAACAATAGAAAACGTGGGACTTACCGCCAAGAGAAATACATCAACTATTGCAGGAAGGTGTAGGAGGAGTCGGAGTGCCTAGAGGCTTAGGAAATTGGTGACTGGGTCACTCGTGTATCACCAAAAAAAAAAAAAACTTTTTTCTTGTAATTTTTTTTAATTTCTCAGTAGATTATTTTCTTCTTCTTTTTTTCTTTTTTTGGTTCCTTTTTTTGCCAGAATTTTTTTCCTCAACGGACAACGGTAGTAATTTTCTTTTTCCCAGCCTACCACGGGGAGGTGCTTTTGTGCTTCCCCTCCACGCTTTACAGCACAGCCTATTAACGTTATCCCAACCATCAATTGAGGATAGCAAAGGGAAGAAGAGGAGCATCCATGGCTCTGCTCTGTGGTTCATCTTCAGTGACGTTCCTTTCATCTTCTGCTAAATCTTCCTATGCTTCTTCCCACAATGGGAATGCCAAAACCGCATTTCTTGGCTTCCAGTTGCCATCACCAAAGCCTTCTATACGGACCAATTTGCGCCTCAATTCTAGGGCAAGTTCTCGGGTGCGTTGCCAGGACCTCTCCATTGTCCCTAAAGATGAACGTTGGATGTTCGAGGAGTCCGAAGTCAATGGCCCGGTACGACTCTGCTCTATTAACTCTATGATTTTCTTGTCTTCCGCTATTAACCGATTTATGGGGCTTTTTGTTGGAATCCGAGAACATGTCGAGGAAATTCCCCTGAAATTATTGGGTTATTCGTTAATGTGGAACCGAGCCCGAAAGGCAAACATTGGAAAAGTTCACGTTTTTAAGTTGATGAAAACAAAAGCTAGGAATGGTTTGTGTTACGGAAGTCTTTAGCGCTGATGTCCCCTCTTTTCCTTTTCGTATAATTAATCCAGCTCCGTTAGAATGATGAAGGAATGAAATGAGCTAGAGGAACATTCGTTGGGTTTTCTGAGGTATTCTTGTTATTGATGATTTAAAGTAAACATGTTTGAGCTCGAACAATCGAGTTTTGAAGTTGAAGTAAATTAATTGTAGTACTTACTTTTGTGTAGTTTTGAAATTCATAAAATGCTGAGCCTTTTAGTACTTTTTGTTATACACCACCTACGTACTCTCTTTTTTATGAACTTTGGAGTTTTGTTTTTGGAACATTTGGTTAAATTTCTGGAATTGTTCGCTGCATTTAAGATATATTTATAAACTTTGTATTCCCTTATGAGAATTCATCAATCAACCCACTGTGTGTGTGTATATACACAGGACATTTGGAACAAGACTTGGTATCCAAAAGCAGCAGATCATGTTAACACAGATAAACAATGGTACATTGTTGATGCTACAGATAAAATTCTTGGAAGACTAGCTTCAACTATTGCAATTCACATCCGAGGGAAAAATTTGGCAACCTATACTCCCAGTGTGGACATGGGTGCATTTGTAGTTGTGGTGAGCATTTTGCATTTCTACATTACTGTTTTTCTCCTGTACCAAGTTTATTAACTACATGATGTATATGTTGTTGATGGAAGCATGACTCTTCTGGTTTGCTGTTTATGCTAGAATGCATCCTATGCATGACAGTTATGCATATCATGCTCGAGTCTTTGAAACCCCTCCCTCTTCCTGGTCCCCTGGGGGTCGAAGAAACATCTTTCTCTATGATTTTACTACTCATTGTTAATTTACTATGAAATGAGGTTAAAAAAAAAAAACGTTGTGTGGTTATTTATCATTTTTGCATTCACTCCTTGAGTAGTAAGGAAACTTATTGCATTTCACATATTCGTATTTTTTTGGATACAGAAGAAATTTTATTGGAGAAAAAACAAAGTACTACATATTGGAAGATTAGTTATACTGAAAATCAGAAGAGATGAGGCCACCTGAAAACAGAATACAGTATCAATTACCATTGACTCATGAGTCAAAGAGCTATCCAATCTCTTTGCATGTCAAATTAAGTTATTCCCTTGAAAAGCCCGTGCACAGGGTACCAAGGGGAAGCCATAAACGCATTTCTATCTGATAACATATGTGAAGGTGAAGATGCTGTGCCCTTGAATATATGGGCATTCTCTTCAACAAAACAGAGAATCCCAAAAGACGACGCATCACTTCATGTTTTGTCTCATTGTTGCCAAACCCTTTGAACCGAATAAGGAGATATTGCTCTGAAGCAATAGGGTAACACCTAGAGATAAATCTTGCCAAAAATACCCAAACAGCAGTTTTGGAGGTAACACATAGCTGGACGATTGAGAAACAATTGTGACTAGGTTAATCAGTTCCGCACATCATATACATATCTGAGAAATTGCTATATGGGGTCAGTGAATATAAATTTGCTGTATATCATTGTAGTGAGTACTTTTCTTGTCCAAACAAAAGACTTAACATTAGAAGGAGCTTTAGATTTTCAAATTGTCTTTTCAAGAAGAAAACGTCACCTGGTAGGGGAATGAATAACGAATTTAAAATTAGATTTGTATTTAAGAACTAGAAGAATCATGAATTCAAAATCTCAAATATTGATTAGTAGGGGAACAGGCTCAAATATTGATTAGATTTGTATTTATTATTATTACATCATTGCTAAACAGAGTCTAAGTTTCACTTACACTTGAGATGGACAGGTTAATGCGGAAAAAATTGCTGTATCTGGAAAAAAGAGGACCCAAAAGCTTTACAGGAGGCATTCAGGACGACCTGGTGGTATGAAAGTAGAGACATTTGCCCAACTACAGGCGAGAATTCCAGAAAGAATTATTGAACATGCTGTTCGTGGCATGCTTCCAAAGGGGAGGGTAGGCTCAACCAATTTATGTCATACTCTTCTTTTGCTGAATACATACTAACTTGTTTGAAGAATGCCTGGTTTGTTTATATTGCTTTTGGTACTTCTTAAGAAATAGATCATTGTACATTTGATTATTATTTTTCGTGACATTTGAATTCATCAGCCAAAACCGATGAAAAAAACATAGTGGGAAAGGCCAAAATGCTTGACTTGTTCGTAAAACATCTCAGAAAGCTAATTGGGTTTCTTATCCTCATGTTTGGTCAAAATGTGATAAACTAAGTGATGACAATTGAGGGGCTTGTAATTGAACTGATATTGATTTTTATGTTCATATGATTTTGATATAACTAGTAGGCATGGCGCCATTTGGTTCAAACTAGTTGGTATCATGAGCCAAACGTTTTTCTATTTTGATGTTGCTACGCAGGTTGAAATATGTTGACTCTTGACTTTTTACCCTACTATTTTTCATTTTTCCACTTAAACTCTATGTTATATCTGGCACGGATATGCCTATCTGTGTATATATACACACAGATGATTTATATATGTGTGTGTGTGCATGTATGTATTAAGCATATTTGAGCTGGGCCTTCCTGGAATCATACCTCCATCTTATCTTTTATTGGCATGTGCTGTGTCTGATTTTGCACATTCTTGGAAGAAAATATTTTTTGAAAAATAAAAAAGGTGACATCGGCCTCCTTATACTTGGTCTCTACACCACTGCACAGATCCTCACCCCTTAGAGGATCCATGCTTCTGTGGTTGTGCTTTCAATCAATATTGCATGCTTTGCTGTGATGGTATCTCCATGAATGTTATCTTTCAGTTGAATTTACAATAATCAAGGGTTGGTATGTGCAGCTTGGCAGACAGCTGTTCACCCACCTAAAGGTTTATAAGGGCCCCGATCATCCTCATCAGGCCCAAAAGCCCATCGAGTTACCAATAAGGGACAAAAGAATACAAAGGCAGAGATAGGTATTCCTGTGAACAGAATATGGGATATGGCAGACATTGGCAATTGCCTTATGGTTTCAAATACTACTGAGCTCCTTAAGTCCTACTTTGTTTTGATGTCTGCGTTGGCTGTAGAAGTGTCCGATTATTGTAGAGTTTGTTTTTATTCAAGGCCGTCTGCTTAATATCTCATGAATTCTTTATGTTGTAGCTGTGAGTTCTTAGTCATGTAAAATTTCTTCATTACGCATTTTGCAATCGTGGTAACTTTGTGAAGCAAGTGTTTCATAATTCATTTTCTTTCCCCGTTTAAAAGAATAGCACAGTTATGAAAACTATATGTGGAGTCTTTTTAAATGGTATTTATTATTAAGTTCTTAAATTAAATTATGAAAGGGGAAGATCTTTTAAATATTCAGTGCCCTGCTGATAAGTTATGAAAATGTTCACATGTTATGTTGTCTGGGAAAATCTTGTAACGCCACCTTAACTTTGATACAATTATTTTCCTTCTCAAGCTTGGAGTTAGTATCTTATGAGGGTTTAGCCTTTACTTAGTAAAACTGATAGGCAGAAGGTATTTGGTTATGATTTATAGTAATTAAAGGAAGAGCATAAGAACTATAAATTGGATGCACTCACTGAGAGATTGAAATAAAAATTTGACTTTTAACCGGGAAAGAAAATGTGACTGTGGATAGGGTTTACATATCATAATCACTGAGAGATTGAAATAAAAATTTGACTTCTAACCGGGAAAGAAAATGTGACTGTGGATAGGGTTTACGTATCATAATTACACCCCCCAAAAAAAAAAAAGAACACTGACCCAAAATAAATGCAGAGGATCTCATCTGTAAGAATTCCTAAGCTAGTGCCACACCCTATAATCACATCGCAATGCCTGAAAATGATCCAATTTTTTTTTTTTATTTTTTTGGGGTGGGGGTTGGGGGTTCATGTAGATTGAAATTGTAAATTGATCAAAATGATTGAGAATTAACTCCGAATTTCCCTTGATAAAAGAAAAAACTACTTGTTCACAAGCATAGCAAGCAAGAGTTGGTTCCAAGTGTCAGGGACACCAGGAAGGCACCAATGGCTACAATCATTTCCCCTCTCACCATAAACGCCATAAACAGATGGATGGCCATCTCTCCTGAGCTGAGAAAGAGTTGTGATGTCCAACAAACCAACAGGTTTGGCCATTTGACCCAACACTTGCTTCACTATCACTGCTGCTTTTGGTGGACCTGTTGAATATCTTGAACCTCCCATGGGTATGGTCTGTCCTCTGCATGTGCTTGAGCTGGCCTCATTCCACTCCTCTCCACTGCTCCATCAAAAATTAAAAAGAAATTCAGTTGTAATAAAATTTATGCGAATTATGTACAGGAAAAAACTAATAACTATCAAGTTGATTATGATGTCATATTTTGATTGACCATAAATGTGAGGTTCAATTGTGAGAAACTATGTAATATTTAGTTTTATGAATGCATAATAATGATGAGAAGGGAAGAGATTATTACTCGTAGTGGGTTGGAGAGGTGGACTGAAAGAAAACTTTGGTGATGTTAGGATTGACATTAGAGTCCACCCATTTTGACCATGTTCTTATTGCTTCTCTGAAAGCATCCAACCTATTCATGTCCTTCTCTATCTTATTCCCCACTTGAATATACTCCCATCTGAAATCCACAGCCAATGCAATAAAGGATTCAATAATTCATATTAGCTTTTCATCAAGTAGAACTTCCAATTTGGTATGACTAATTAATTTCGAAAACCCTTTTAATTAATTTGCAAGACTAAGAGTAGGTTACGGTTGTTGGTGGCCTTTATGAAGCCACCAGTGCCAGGTATTGAAGATGATCACATCGTATCCTTTCCATGAATTCCCATTATTCTCAACGGAATCAAGCTTCAGAACAGTCCCTATCTTCTCTTTCACTATATCTACCAAAAGTGCATTACGAGACAACATTACAGAAATCTTATACTCCTGCAAATTAAATACTTAATCAATCAATTAAAGCAAACTAATCAATAAGTCAATGTATATAATCTCAAGTTATGGTGGTTAATGAGGAAATAGAGATTGAACTCACAGGTAAAGTGAAGGTGGAGAGGCCTCCTACTCTGTGAAGACTGTATCCTGAATGAGGAGCAGCAACATGCAGCATGCAAATCAGTGATTGCCACTGATTCAGGCTAAGGGAGTCCCCAACAAATAATATTTTCTTCCCCTTCAATTCCCTCAACAAATCTTGTCCCTTATACCTGCATTACAACATATATATATATATATATATATCATTTAGATAAAAATATTTCTCACTGATAATCTCACATAAGTGGTTAAAGGTGAGATTCTAATTATTCTCTCCTACAATATCCAATGTAGCTAGCAAGGAATTAAACAACTTTACCTATACATAAATAATGTGAAACTAACAAGCATTGTAGACACCCAAAGAGATGAGATATTTAATGCGTAAGGATTATACATGTTCTTATCATTACATATCTAGAGGATTAGAATGAGTATTTAAGAAAATGTAACGAATATTGACTCGTCAAAATCAGTGGTAAGTGATTATCATTATATGTACAAATTTTGACAGACTCAATTTCTATATGCATTATTCAACTGGCTATTTCTAGTTCCGTCCGGTTTTAATAACACTGGTTTAAATAGATAGAAGGATGCTAAACACACTGTTCTACTTTATTATAAGTAAAGATCTTTTAGCTTACTAAGAGGTAAAAAGCAGATAGTTTAAAACAATCCCTAATAAGAAGTTTAAAATGGACATTAATCGGAGGTAACATTTTGTTTAATATATATATTCTAACAAATTTTGCTTTCAAATAGTGTGAAACCCACCCCCCCAAAAAGAAAGAAAAAAAAGAAAAGAAAAACAAAGGCTTGGAAACCAAGAAAGAGAAAGACAAAGCAGAACATCACCTCGGGAGAGCACAAGCGTTTGGCTGCCATCTATATTTCTGATAGAAACTGTCTGGTCGTCCATTTTTCTGGCAATCAAATTCTTGTTCAATGAAAGGACAACTTGACGCTTTGTAGAGAGGGTAAGTCTCATCATAAACCCACCTTCCTTCAAACAAATCACACTTCCTTCTCACTACTGATGATCCTGATGAATCACCATCATCATGGTGATCTCTTTTACTCTCCTTCCATTGTTCAAGCACTACCATTGCATTGCTCTTGTAAAGGTTTAATAATGTTATCAGGACAGAGAAGAAGATAACATGAGTAGTAAATGATGATAATCTCTGGAACCCACATGACCCCATTTAGGGTTTTCAGGGCAAAGGCAAAGAAGAAAGTAAGAAACAATTAAGGACTCTGATTAATGTGAAGATGTGTAGTGCAAAACTGAGAACGAGTTGTTTCTTTTATTTGTAGGCATAGCTCCAAACATGGAGGAACAATGAGGATATAGTTGTTTAATTAGTTTGTTTGAATCTGTGTTTGTTGAGTACGTGCCCTTCAAGACAAAGCATGCACACGCAGCTTTTCAATTTATTGCCATACATATAAGTTTCTTTTCATTTGCTTTTTGTTTTGTTTCTCTAGATAGACCATGTTTGGTTAAATGTTCATGGCCTCCATTTAATAGGCTTATCACCTCTTTTTTATTATTAAAAGAAAAAGTTACTAGTTAATTAATGCGTTCCACCTACTCAACACTGATGTTATCAAATGAAACATGAGAATATTCTCATGATCAAAATAATTGTATTCACTGGACACAAATTTTTTCACATGCTATTATACAGTACATTCCTTTTAAAAATTAATTCATCGGTGCTTATAATTTTATCTTATTTCTAATTAGGCTTTTGCAGTGGTTTTTGTTAGATCTTTCAATTACTTCAATTATAGGCCTAAATCTTTATATTTGTAATTTGTTAATTCGAGCTGAAATACATGTTGACTAATCAACATATAAGTTGCCAACAAATACAAAACAAGAAAAAAAATTTAAAAAATAAAATGATTTAACAAAATTTGTTTATTCTGAGCATAAAAATAAACTATTATGCTCATAAATGTCTCCTTGTATCAATATATAATATATAATATGGTTATTTTGATTTTATTTAGATCATGTGGAAAAATTAATCCAGATACATGTTGAGTGGGATTTACATATAAGTTATCGGTATCATTTCTCTTACAAATTAACAAATTATGAGTATACAGATCAATACCTATAATTAAATAAATTATAAGGACTTAATTAAAATTAAGGTAAAATTATAGAAATTTGGGTATTAATTTTCCCTAATATAACTCTTACATATACATACATACATATATATATCATTTCTTTAATCTTTTGGTTGTGATTTGAAAATTTGAAGAGCAAATTGATCGACAATTATTTCTCAAATGGAACATCTCTCTCTCATGGCAATATTCTTATAAATATATATATATATATATATATATCTTGCATTCTTGCAACATCATCCATATATGTTTCAGTCAGGTGTCTCTTTCGCAAATCGTCCATTACCTATCAAAATCTAAACTTCTCTAATCTAATTATAGTTTGTAACTTTGTGTAAACATTAACAAAACAACATTAACAAAACAATTAGGAAGCAAAACGATAGCATCAAGCTTTCCTAATATTTTACTGAAAATTGTTTGGCTGAAACCACTTTATATCAGTGACGTAAAGTGCACTATATTTCCCACCAGCTCTTACCTGTTTGTTTCTTTTCTTAAACACTTTTCTTTCTATTTCCAGTTTTTTATATTTGGATGGTAAGTCCATTTCAGTCCGTTAGAAACGTAGTTTTCTGATATGTGGGATCCTTCCTTTTCAAGTAAATGGCTGTGAAGTGAAGAAAGTGAATGGACATATCAGCAAATACGTCGTTAAAAAACTGAATCTGTGAATGGTTCACTTTAACTAATAAGAAAAGTCATCCACAAGAAAGAAGCGAGTGATTATATACAGATGATATCAATAGGTATGTACGTAGTAAAAAAATGGCATCATCTGGAAATTGATACATTGAATTAAACGGATCAACGATCATTGATCCTAAGTTTGATTTGTTTTAATGGATTGGGAGTTTTCTTTTCCTTTTTTTTTATAGGAACAATTGTAAGATATTTTAATTATATATTTTATATTATATTATATTATTTTGTTTTAATTAAAATATCCAGAGTATGGCCCGTTAGTCAGTTAGGCCCAGTCTAAGTAAGGTTCTAGACTCAGTGCTTTTTAGTCATTCTTAACCTTGATGGTGGGTTAAGTTTTTACGGCTAACTGAGTGAGCGTCTGTGAAAACCTAATACATGGCTCTTGAGGTTCCCTGACTGGGCGCGGCTCTTTCTTTTTCCATCACTGTGCCCACCTCCCAGTCAGAAGAGATCCTGATATCTTTTCTACTAACAACATCTGAATAATTTCAGTTATTCTAATTCAAATCAAGGCCAGAAGCATTGTGGATTGCTTCTTCAGACTATTCAGCATGGCGAGAGGTATTTATAAGTCTTCCGCTGCTACTCTGATGATTGTGGAATTCTATATGACTATTTAGATAAATATATGTGTTCATATGAATTGTTCTAACATGTGGTATCAGAGCATGGTTTTTAGATCTCCCTCTGCCTGCTAATTTTGTAAATGATACATTATGAATGTATGTTAATTTTCTATTTGGAAATTATTTTGAGAAAAACTTCTATGAGCGTCATATGTGCTTGTTTCAACCGTCTTTGTTTTTCTCGGATCTCTATATATGGTCGAGCTTTTGGGTGAATGGACCAAAGAAAATTATATATATTGTTTCCTTGATGACCGCCTTCAATTTGGTTTGCCTTTTCATTGAAATTTAAAGGATCCGAAACGTTAGCTTGGTTTTGCATCAAAATCTATATATTGATATATGCGATTTGAGTTTTCGTATCCTTTACATGTGATTATTGCCCACATGGACTTTGCCGTTTTGGAGAATAAAATTGCCGATGGTACCACTGTGATGTTTTGGTTTGAAATCAAAATTTTATTTGGTGTTTTTTTTTTTCGCATGTTTTTATCAAATTCAATTTGATCATGGGCTTGCTCTTGATGATATTGCTATCATAAATTGCTGACCATTGAGTTCTGATCATCTTGCCGTGAAAACGAGAGAAACGGCGTTAAAATCGCCGGCAAAGGTCGCCTGCAATTAGAGACGGCGGCAGATATGTCTGTATATATTCGGGTTGAAATTGCTGGCGGGTTGGTTAGGGATCCGACTGAAGGTGGAAAATAGGCGGCAAAGGGAAACGCCCAGTTTCACTATTCAGTTGTTGGGCTGCACATGGTTTGGGCTCACGAAAAAGTAGGCATCTGAATTGTTCTTTATTTTGTTGGGGACTCTGTTGTTTTTTGTAGAATAGCTTGTTTGTTACTCGAAGCCATTTTACAAAATTGGGCAGTGTTTTGGGCCTATCCCATGACAGCTTCTGTTTTCATATTTTCCACATTTTATGGGCCATTCGGTTTTGGGCATATTTAATACACACACACACAAAAAAAAAAAAAAAGGATTTCGCAAGGACATTGTGGTTCAAGTTTCTTCCTTCGAATTTTATTTTCTGGTTTTAATATGTTATTTCCCTATAGGCCTTTAATGTTTCACGCCCATATGACATTCTGGGTCATTTTGATTTTATTTCAGAGCCAAAGTGGACCGTGAAAATTATTTCCAATTTCTCAAAAGTTTTAGTACTATTTGTCTGATTTCAGAAGTTGGCTGTTGAAAAATTGTTTTAGTTTCTGGAAAATTGGAACATGGGCCTCAATCAGTTTATTTTGTTTCTGGTTCCAATTTTTTTTTTTTCACTCTTTTGGTTCATATCCAGAAATATATCTAGGCCTTTTATGTATGTCTGAACCCAGAAAAATCAATTTTAGCCTTTGTGCGATTATTGTTGTTTGGGATGGTTTGTGTAATTTTTCAGAAATCATTTGAGCTAAATAGATGTTGTATGAGTTCTCTGATTTATTATTTGGGACTCTTTTTGGGCCTGAACATTTTTTTATTTTTCTGGAATTTTGGTTTTGGGCTCTATTTTGTATTTTGTTATATGAGCTAATTTTGTTTTATTTCCAGAAACAGTTTTTGGCTAAATAAAGCATTATTTAAATTGGTTTTTATTTATTTAGCCATAAGGTTTATCTATAATCTATTTCATGCACCATTTAAATTGTTTAAATAAAAGAGAAATCAATTTAGCTAATTTTAACATACTGTGAAATTTTGCAAAATTCTTTTTGTCCGCTATTTAATTGTTTAAACATTTGTTTTAGGCAATCATATATTTGTTTGAGTTTTGCAAAATTATATTTGATTTGAAATATGCTGAATTTGATTTATTAAACAATTTTTGGGTGCATAAAATAGTGGGAGAATTTAATTTTAGTTATTTAGTTGCTTATGTTGCTTAAATTAATTGGTCAAGTTCTCCATTATGTTGTGCATATATGAGATTTAAATGCACATAGTTAATAATTGTGATTAGCATGCAAGGTTGATAAGGAGTAGCCACAGCATCTTCTTACATAGTGCATGGATAGATAATCACATACAGATTTTAAAATATCAACTATAATCAATGAGTAATTATAATTTGATCACATAAATGGTTTAGTTGATTAAATTATTTAGTTGGAATGCTCATTGATATTGTGTGTGTATATGGAATTTAATTGTACATATATGACATTAGTGATTAGCATATATATTTGTTCAAGGAGTAGCCACAGCATCCTTATTCACATGTTATATGCATATTTAATCACATGTGGATTTAAAATATCAATTTTGGTTAAATGCACAATCAATACACACAATGATTTGATGTCTTTGTGATGCAAATGTAGAGTTGAGGAGTAGCCACAGCATCCTTACATGTACATGTATTTGTCTTAATAGACAAATCATCATATAAAGATTTAAAGACGTCACTTGTAATTAAATATGTAGTTATGGTTAATCTTTGCCCACAGGTAGATAATTATAATTACATATTTAATTAGGTGGGATAGAAACGGCCTTATGATTCCTAAGTAGCCCACAGGTATTAGAAATCTAAATGCGTTCTAGTTTCACCAATTAGAGAACATAAATTTGTGCTATGCTGAAGTCTTTACCCACAGGTAGACTTCAGTGATACGAAATTTATGATTGTATGATTTACGTTGGTAAATGTACGCTTAAACGTGATGGTTAAATGCCTCATAAAGTGTTGTTGTAAGCATGATTAAAAGTTAATTCTTTATTTTGCAGCATTATTATTATCCTTTGAGTTAGGGACAATTATTGAGCCTAGAAGAAGATAAATG